CAGCAACAAACATCAATATCTACAACAAAATAGTGAATCTACTAACCATAAAACATCAACAACATCAACATCAACATCAACAACAACAACATCAACATAAACAACAGCAGCAACAAACATCAATATCTACAACAAAATAGTGAATCTACTAACCATAAAACATCAACAACAACATCAACATCAACAACAACAACATCAACAGCAACAAACATCAATATCTACAACAAAATAGTGAATCTACTAACCATAAAACATCAACAACAACATCAACATCAACAACAACAACATCAACAGCAACAAACATCAATATCTACAACAAAATAGTGAATCTACTAACCATAAAACATCAACAACAACATCAACATCAACAACATCAACATAAACAACAGCAACAACAAACATCAATATCTACAACAAAATATTGACTCTACTAACCATAAAACATCAACAACAACAGCAACAGCAACAACATCAACAACAACAGCATCAACAACAAAAACAATAAGAACAGAAACAAAGAATAGTGACTCCCTTGTAGAAATTACAATAACAACGCACAAATATACAAAGAATTGAAAAAAGAACAATAAAACACAGGGAAATCTGTAATCACAACGTGAACAACTGCATCTATATCAACAACAGGAACCACAACTTTGAAGTTGCTTTAAAGAATTGAGCTTACTCTCGCAGTTAGGACCGCTGTACTGTGGCTGACAAGAGCAATCGTAGCCTGAGCCATTTTCATGGCAGGTACCACCATTAAGACAGGGGTTGGGATGACACTTGTTGTTTTGTCCTGTTGGAAGTTCTCCCTCGCCGCCATCAGGAGGTCTCTGTCCTATAGTGACAATTAAAAGTGTACAATTGGTCAAGGTACCTTGGTACCAAGGTACCAAGTACGATTAGCCGGGTTTTTAATTATACGGCTATCACCGGATATAGCGTAAGGTACGGTATACAGCTAGTCTTACCTACTGGCAGCTCACAAGTATCACCTGTAAACCCACTCGAGCATTCACATATTGCTTGACCGTTAGCATTGTGACATGTTCCACCGTTCTTACAAGGGTTGGACTTGCATGGATCTTCTGGTGGCCTTGCTACAATGGAAGGTAAATCAGGGCAAGCTGCAGTAATAAAGGGGCTATGACCTGGGGGGTCATGTACTGTTTAAATAGATGCAATCAACCAATCACATCTTATGAAACGGCCTTTACTATGACGTCACAACAAAACATTTTTTGACGCAAATATACAACAAAGGAAAAGACGGTAAATGGCATTTAGGGAAAGAAAAGAGTCGATATTAATAGTACCAGAAAAAAAAAATTGAAATAAATATATATTTTAATTTTTGAAGCGAAAGAAGGTTCAGTGCATTGTKTTGAGTGCTGTGACGTCATAGAGAAACAGGCCAAGCAATCTGATATTCTTTTAGTTCACCATTTGATTGTAAATTCGTATAATTGTCCAGTGCTTACCTCCAACAGGAAGTTCACAGTTCTCGCCGGAGAAACCTTCTTCACACATACATGCATAGCCTCCCTTACCATTGTCAATGCACTGTCCGCCATTTTGACAAGGGTTGGACGCGCAGGGACTGGTTCGACTTACTACGAATCATAAATGATTTGAAATACATTTATATACCGGGGTCGTAGTGTTTGCTGTGCTGTCTGCGCAATATYAGGTTAATATTGTTGTTTGAACGTCAAACATTTGTGTAGGAATCGCACGACCTTGAGTACAATTTGCAATTAATAGTCACGAGTAATGTTTTGAAAGTTCTTCGATCGTGATTGCAAGAGCCCGAAAGGACGAGATCGTGATTGCAAGAGCCCGAAAGGACGAGTGCAATTTGAGAGGCTTTCAAAACATTACAAGTAACTATCAATTCCAAATTGTACGAGAGGTTGTGCCAGTTTTTGTTTACAGTACATTCATTGAAATACAATTTTATAAGGAGTACAATTAACGCTGTAATTATACCCCTTTCGACCAACGAAAAAGCATTATTTTGTTGAGTGTACTATAAAGAATGTAATCGCCGGCTTTTAAACTTTGCGTTGGATACTCGTTTGTTTGTTTYTACGTTAGTTTCAATAATGGTATTTCGTTATACTTATTTTCGTTTCATTTCGWTTGTGTTTTCACATTTTTCGTGATGTTTTGCTTTTATGTTGTCCTTCAAGAAACAGTAATACTTTCCGACGTTGAAATACCATTGACACTGTTTTACAAGTGAGAGTATGTTACAGTTTTATTCAGTTGCTTTCTTAACCTCATTATTATAAGCTGCATATATCGTTTCATCTTTTTGGACATTTCGTATCCTTTGCTTGAATTGAATTAAAATTGTTTTTACATTCTTAGTACCATTCAACATACTACATATTGAGAAATCATTACTATTTAGTATCATTATCAGGATCATTCATCATGAAATAAAATTAAAAGTGTTTTTACATATGATACAGAATTATATTAACAAGAATATTTATATTAACAAAAAGAGTACTTTTTTTACTAAAACGAGCTATTATTATCGGAAGTATTTAGACTACAGTCGTAACTGTTGCTGTAAATCGATTCTTTATGATATCATTAGTTCTGTCAATTGTTCGTAAGGTAGTCGTCGTGGCCGTCGTCCTGGATATCGTATGCTTCAGTCCTTGGATCCCCGACTGTCCGCCGTAAGTCAGTTGTCTAGTTCGTTGTCATCATCATTTGATGGCACGTCATCCCCTCCAATCGTCCCCTCGAATGGACCAGACGGGGAGGGAGGAGGAACAGGGGCGGGGGCGGGTGCGGGTGCAGGGGAGGGAACAGGGGAGGGTGCTGGGGAGGGTGCTGGTACAGGAACGGCGGGAGCTGGGTACGGGAGCTTTTCGGTTTGAGGAGCGGGGATCGGTTCTGCTGGTTCTGGTTCGTAGGCAGGTTCTGGGATGCCTGCTGCACCCGGTGTAGCCTCAATAGGTTTAGGTACGTGTACCTGGGGAGGAGGGGGTACGATGACAGGAGAGGGTGACGGCGCAGGGATGGATGGTAGCACTTCAACTACATCAAGCAAACGGTAGTGTTAGTCTGCAGTCCAAGTTAAATYCKTTYCTATCGTCAGTATTTACCTCCTTTAGGTGTACACGTTTCTCCGTCGCCTTCATATCCTTCGTTACATCTACATTTACCATTCTCACAGGACGCGTGTGAATCACACTTCGCACACTTATCAACTGAAAGACAACAATATAACATAAGAACAATATAACAAAACCTAGCATCACCTTTGCACATACGCAACCATATTTGGCAAAAGAACTATATTTGGTAAAACTCCTATATTAGACATTGCAACCATTGCAACTGTATTTGGCAATATAACCATATTTTGAAATATAAATATATTTTGTAATACAACCATATWTGGCAATAAGACCATATTTGGCAATACGACCATATTTGGCAATAAGACCATATTTGGCAATACGAACATATTTGGCAATACGACCATATTTGGCACTCAAATTAAGTTTAACGATACAGCTATATGTAGTGATATGACCACTTGTACTGTAAACCATTCTAAGCTATCAATTGAAGAGAGTTACCTTCACACATGTTGCCTTCATACTGTACCGAGCATTCACACGTCGCCGCGTTGTTCATCTCACGACAAGTTCCTCCATTTCGACATGGATTTGGTGAACATGGATTCGCCTCTAAGAAAAACAATAGTAAGGATTGCAGTTCAACGATTTAGAAGATCGCTGGGAAATTCTTTTCAGGGCATTTCCGGCCAGTATAACTCCATCTAAATGACCATAAGATGGCTAAACTTGCCAACAAAATGCTTACTTTCACAGTCGTTGCCCTCGAAGGTACTGAGACATGTGCACTTGTAACCATTTTCTATTGGAACACAGGTTCCTCCGTTCTGACAAGGATTAGGATTACAGTACTGACGAGCTGAAAGGAACATGATATCATCAATCAATCAATCAATCAATCAATCAATCAATCAATCAACCAATCAATCAACCAATCAATCAATCAACCAACCAATCAATCAACCAACCAATCAACCAACCAACCAATCAACTAACCAACCAACCAACCAGCCAATCAATCAATCAACCAACCAGTTAATCAATCAATCAATCAATCAATCCAGCTATCATCAATCAATCAATCAGTCAATCAATCAATCAGTCAGTCAGTCAATCGATCATTGAGTCAATTCTTTAATAACTCAGTCAAGCAAGCAGGCACTCACTCGACCAATCAACAGCTCAGTCACATAACAAATCAATCATCCAAKCGCCGAATCAGACAATACAGCGTGTAATACAGGTCTATGTGGCCTTTTTTCGTTACTTACTCTCACAGTTGGGTCCAGTCCACCCGAGTACGCAGTCACAATCATAAGAGTCCTCAGTAGGAACACAGGTGGCACCATTCTTACATGGGTTGGGATGGCACACGTTTTCTGTTGACAAAGAACAGATAGGCTACTGTGACYCTTKAATAGYGGTATTTCATCAGATAAATCTCTATCAAATTCTTGATTTAAAACATTTTTGAATTTTGAATTGGTTTAACYAAAGGTTCTTTGCTTACTGTGGCATGTCCTGCCGTCTCCATGGTAATTCTCCTTACAAACACAATGCCCAACAATGCATTCTGCGTGTACACTGCAGTATTTACAGCGGTCATCTGAAAGTAACGTTGAAGCCTTTCATTAAATTCATTGTCACATAATTCATTCATCCATTTAAGGATTTATTCATCCATTCAAGGATTTATTCATCCAAAGATTCAAAGAACCTTTCATTAATGTATTGATAGACTCACCTTCACAGGTTGGGCCAGCATAAGGTGTGACACATTTACAAACATAAGACGTTGACATGACAGGATTCATGATTTGTGGTCCACCATACATAAAGTACGACCGTCTCCATGGTACGTTAGGGTTGATGAATGACGTATCAATACAAGTACCTCCATGAAGACAGGGGTGAGACACGCATGCGCTAACCTCTGCAAAATATCAATAGTTTTACCACTTGGCGACATTTGTTATCAATATTTTACCACATTGCATAATAACTTGTGTTGTCTGATAATGGCGATACTTACGCTCACAGTGATTACCATGGTAACCCATCATACAGATGCATCGGGCCGACCCATTCTCCTCTAAACACGTTCCACCATTATGACAGGGACTGGGACTACACACGTGATCTACGATTAGAATTGATCAATCAGCTACAACGTACTATAGACAGCAAATTCATGAAAGAGAATTCAAAGTACTAGGGGATTCCGGATTCCAAGTGCTGGATTACGGATTCCGAAACATTGGATTACGGATTCCAGGCCTCGAGATTACGGATTCTAAAGAATTTTTGTTTTGGGATTTCAAAATTTTTACTGGATTTTGGATTCCAAATTGGATTTCGGATTCCAAAGCTGTTTTTTAATGGATTCGGGATTCTGAATTCTCTTATTATTTTGGGCGAAGCAATTTATGTGATGTAACGAAGTATGTATTTTTAAATAGAGTTTAGTCTTTGTAGAGTAGAGTTACAAGATGTGCAGCATCGTGGTGCATTGTAGTGCGGTGTGTAGTTCTGTGTACACGCTTCCTGTACGTACTTTGACAATTGTTTCCATCGTAACCCAGTCTGCAACTACATCGGTATCCAGACATCTCATCTACGCATGACCCACCGTGAAGGCATGGGTTCGAGAAACAAATACTGCGCTCTGTAAAGAGATTTCAGGTTTGATTTTTGGTTCTATAATCTACGTATCATCATTATGATAAAAATATTGAGATATAATAGTATTTGGTTTGAATTTGAGGTTAAATCGAGACAATCAGAACAACATATATCTCACATAAATTCGACACTCAAGCAATCTAGAAATTGCAGTCACTCTCAAATCGCAGCTATCTAATCTATCCATTTTTACAAATACTAATACTACTATTTCTAACATAACTAATGATTATCATCAATCATCAACGGCATCATTTACACCCTTGTCCTTATTACAAATAATACTGATGCGGATATCATTATTATAACATTATAAACAGCGCTGTCGTTGCTTCCATTACAATTGTGCTCAGTTGTCACCGCCATTGTCTTTTCAACATTTTGGTGGTATTTACCGTCGTCGTGATTATTCGTGAGGTCGGCATTCTCTTAATAGTCATTACAGTGAATTATATTGCTGTCGCTGGACGTCATTCCCGTTGATGCTGCCATGTCGTTTTTCAGTCGGTTTTCAAATCCATTACAGTATATTCGTATTAACAAGTTAATTTAAGTCAACAAGTTAATCAGTCATTTATAATGTCAATATTGAAATCATGCAATAGTCATCATGCATACCTTCGCAAGTGATTCCTTTAAAGCCAAATGGACAAGTACAATCGAATCTACCCCCTCCCCTCTCAGTACACGAACCACCATTCTTACATGGGTCGGGTACACACAGGTTCACCTCTGTTTGAAATCAAAACACTAAAGGTTAGCATGGCTACCACTCCTGTAGCCATGGCTACCGCTTGATCCCAAGGTTACCATGACTGCATTATGTCATGGTTACTATGACTACAAAACAACGTTACTATGACTACCACTCCACACCATACCATGACAACTACTCAAATTTTAGTTACTAAGGCTACTTTACTTCTACAGACTACGTCATGGTTACTATGACTACCTCTCCATATCACGGTTATTATGACTACCAAATAGTTCCGCATTGCAACAAGCACAAATGGTGACCATGACTACCAAGACAACCGTTCGAATTACGATTGAAACACTAATTCTGAGTCCAGTTGAGGTTGTCAAGGTTACCACTTAGTTGGCTGCCATGGTGACATTATTGCATACCTTGACAGTCTTCTCCTTTATATCCTTCTCTACAAGTACACTCGTAGCCTTTTTGGTTGTTAGTCCCCGTGCACATACCGCCGTTACGGCAAGGGTTGGGATGACACTTGTTAATATCTGTCGWAAAACAAACCACGAACTCGTTAGAAAATTGCCAATAATTTAAAAGATTAGTGAAATGTCTTTTAGGAATCGAAGAGACTTTATTTTATTGTGTCAGCAAGACTAAAAGGTCAAGATGTAAGCCATAAGAACTGATAATGTCAYGTGATATTATACCTTCRCAATTATCTCCCTTGAAACCTTTTGCGCATGTGCATTCGTAGCCTTGSCCTACGTCATAGCACGTGCCACCGTTTTTACAAGGACTAGGTTCACATAGGCTTCTTACTGCAAGACAGATAATAATTAATATCCTCTAATAATAACTAGTAATCGGGAATAGCATACACTGTGAAAATTAACACTACAATAATGTAACAGTCTTATCGATGGACTTACATTCACANACTAACCATAAAACATCAACAACAACATCAACATCAACAACAACAACATCAACAGCAACAAACATCAATATCTACAACAAAATAGTGAATCTACTAACCATAAAACATCAACAACAACATCAACATCAACAACAACAACATCAACAGCAACAAACATCAATATCTACAACAAAATAGTGAATCTACTAACCATAAAACATCAACAACAACATCAACATCAACAACATCAACATAAACAACAGCAACAACAAACATCAATATCTACAACAAAATATTGACTCTACTAACCATAAAACATCAACAACAACAGCAACAGCAACAACATCAACAACAACAGCATCAACAACAAAAACAATAAGAACAGAAACAAAGAATAGTGACTCCCTTGTAGAAATTACAATAACAACGCACAAATATACAAAGAATTGAAAAAAGAACAATAAAACACAGGGAAATCTGTAATCACAACGTGAACAACTGCATCTATATCAACAACAGGAACCACAACTTTGAAGTTGCTTTAAAGAATTGAGCTTACTCTCGCAGTTAGGACCGCTGTACTGTGGCTGACAAGAGCAATCGTAGCCTGAGCCATTTTCATGGCAGGTACCACCATTAAGACAGGGGTTGGGATGACACTTGTTGTTTTGTCCTGTTGGAAGTTCTCCCTCGCCGCCATCAGGAGGTCTCTGTCCTATAGTGACAATTAAAAGTGTACAATTGGTCAAGGTACCTTGGTACCAAGGTACCAAGTACGATTAGCCGGGTTTTTAATTATACGGCTATCACCGGATATAGCGTAAGGTACGGTATACAGCTAGTCTTACCTACTGGCAGCTCACAAGTATCACCTGTAAACCCACTCGAGCATTCACATATTGCTTGACCGTTAGCATTGTGACATGTTCCACCGTTCTTACAAGGGTTGGACTTGCATGGATCTTCTGGTGGCCTTGCTACAATGGAAGGTAAATCAGGGCAAGCTGCAGTAATAAAGGGGCTATGACCTGGGGGGTCATGTACTGTTTAAATAGATGCAATCAACCAATCACATCTTATGAAACGGCCTTTACTATGACGTCACAACAAAACATTTTTTGACGCAAATATACAACAAAGGAAAAGACGGTAAATGGCATTTAGGGAAAGAAAAGAGTCGATATTAATAGTACCAGAAAAAAAAAATTGAAATAAATATATATTTTAATTTTTGAAGCGAAAGAAGGTTCAGTGCATTGTKTTGAGTGCTGTGACGTCATAGAGAAACAGGCCAAGCAATCTGATATTCTTTTAGTTCACCATTTGATTGTAAATTCGTATAATTGTCCAGTGCTTACCTCCAACAGGAAGTTCACAGTTCTCGCCGGAGAAACCTTCTTCACACATACATGCATAGCCTCCCTTACCATTGTCAATGCACTGTCCGCCATTTTGACAAGGGTTGGACGCGCAGGGACTGGTTCGACTTACTACGAATCATAAATGATTTGAAATACATTTATATACCGGGGTCGTAGTGTTTGCTGTGCTGTCTGCGCAATATYAGGTTAATATTGTTGTTTGAACGTCAAACATTTGTGTAGGAATCGCACGACCTTGAGTACAATTTGCAATTAATAGTCACGAGTAATGTTTTGAAAGTTCTTCGATCGTGATTGCAAGAGCCCGAAAGGACGAGATCGTGATTGCAAGAGCCCGAAAGGACGAGTGCAATTTGAGAGGCTTTCAAAACATTACAAGTAACTATCAATTCCAAATTGTACGAGAGGTTGTGCCAGTTTTTGTTTACAGTACATTCATTGAAATACAATTTTATAAGGAGTACAATTAACGCTGTAATTATACCCCTTTCGACCAACGAAAAAGCATTATTTTGTTGAGTGTACTATAAAGAATGTAATCGCCGGCTTTTAAACTTTGCGTTGGATACTCGTTTGTTTGTTTYTACGTTAGTTTCAATAATGGTATTTCGTTATACTTATTTTCGTTTCATTTCGWTTGTGTTTTCACATTTTTCGTGATGTTTTGCTTTTATGTTGTCCTTCAAGAAACAGTAATACTTTCCGACGTTGAAATACCATTGACACTGTTTTACAAGTGAGAGTATGTTACAGTTTTATTCAGTTGCTTTCTTAACCTCATTATTATAAGCTGCATATATCGTTTCATCTTTTTGGACATTTCGTATCCTTTGCTTGAATTGAATTAAAATTGTTTTTACATTCTTAGTACCATTCAACATACTACATATTGAGAAATCATTACTATTTAGTATCATTATCAGGATCATTCATCATGAAATAAAATTAAAAGTGTTTTTACATATGATACAGAATTATATTAACAAGAATATTTATATTAACAAAAAGAGTACTTTTTTTACTAAAACGAGCTATTATTATCGGAAGTATTTAGACTACAGTCGTAACTGTTGCTGTAAATCGATTCTTTATGATATCATTAGTTCTGTCAATTGTTCGTAAGGTAGTCGTCGTGGCCGTCGTCCTGGATATCGTATGCTTCAGTCCTTGGATCCCCGACTGTCCGCCGTAAGTCAGTTGTCTAGTTCGTTGTCATCATCATTTGATGGCACGTCATCCCCTCCAATCGTCCCCTCGAATGGACCAGACGGGGAGGGAGGAGGAACAGGGGCGGGGGCGGGTGCGGGTGCAGGGGAGGGAACAGGGGAGGGTGCTGGGGAGGGTGCTGGTACAGGAACGGCGGGAGCTGGGTACGGGAGCTTTTCGGTTTGAGGAGCGGGGATCGGTTCTGCTGGTTCTGGTTCGTAGGCAGGTTCTGGGATGCCTGCTGCACCCGGTGTAGCCTCAATAGGTTTAGGTACGTGTACCTGGGGAGGAGGGGGTACGATGACAGGAGAGGGTGACGGCGCAGGGATGGATGGTAGCACTTCAACTACATCAAGCAAACGGTAGTGTTAGTCTGCAGTCCAAGTTAAATYCKTTYCTATCGTCAGTATTTACCTCCTTTAGGTGTACACGTTTCTCCGTCGCCTTCATATCCTTCGTTACATCTACATTTACCATTCTCACAGGACGCGTGTGAATCACACTTCGCACACTTATCAACTGAAAGACAACAATATAACATAAGAACAATATAACAAAACCTAGCATCACCTTTGCACATACGCAACCATATTTGGCAAAAGAACTATATTTGGTAAAACTCCTATATTAGACATTGCAACCATTGCAACTGTATTTGGCAATATAACCATATTTTGAAATATAAATATATTTTGTAATACAACCATATWTGGCAATAAGACCATATTTGGCAATACGACCATATTTGGCAATAAGACCATATTTGGCAATACGAACATATTTGGCAATACGACCATATTTGGCACTCAAATTAAGTTTAACGATACAGCTATATGTAGTGATATGACCACTTGTACTGTAAACCATTCTAAGCTATCAATTGAAGAGAGTTACCTTCACACATGTTGCCTTCATACTGTACCGAGCATTCACACGTCGCCGCGTTGTTCATCTCACGACAAGTTCCTCCATTTCGACATGGATTTGGTGAACATGGATTCGCCTCTAAGAAAAACAATAGTAAGGATTGCAGTTCAACGATTTAGAAGATCGCTGGGAAATTCTTTTCAGGGCATTTCCGGCCAGTATAACTCCATCTAAATGACCATAAGATGGCTAAACTTGCCAACAAAATGCTTACTTTCACAGTCGTTGCCCTCGAAGGTACTGAGACATGTGCACTTGTAACCATTTTCTATTGGAACACAGGTTCCTCCGTTCTGACAAGGATTAGGATTACAGTACTGACGAGCTGAAAGGAACATGATATCATCAATCAATCAATCAATCAATCAATCAATCAATCAATCAACCAATCAATCAACCAATCAATCAATCAACCAACCAATCAATCAACCAACCAATCAACCAACCAACCAATCAACTAACCAACCAACCAACCAGCCAATCAATCAATCAACCAACCAGTTAATCAATCAATCAATCAATCAATCCAGCTATCATCAATCAATCAATCAGTCAATCAATCAATCAGTCAGTCAGTCAATCGATCATTGAGTCAATTCTTTAATAACTCAGTCAAGCAAGCAGGCACTCACTCGACCAATCAACAGCTCAGTCACATAACAAATCAATCATCCAAKCGCCGAATCAGACAATACAGCGTGTAATACAGGTCTATGTGGCCTTTTTTCGTTACTTACTCTCACAGTTGGGTCCAGTCCACCCGAGTACGCAGTCACAATCATAAGAGTCCTCAGTAGGAACACAGGTGGCACCATTCTTACATGGGTTGGGATGGCACACGTTTTCTGTTGACAAAGAACAGATAGGCTACTGTGACYCTTKAATAGYGGTATTTCATCAGATAAATCTCTATCAAATTCTTGATTTAAAACATTTTTGAATTTTGAATTGGTTTAACYAAAGGTTCTTTGCTTACTGTGGCATGTCCTGCCGTCTCCATGGTAATTCTCCTTACAAACACAATGCCCAACAATGCATTCTGCGTGTACACTGCAGTATTTACAGCGGTCATCTGAAAGTAACGTTGAAGCCTTTCATTAAATTCATTGTCACATAATTCATTCATCCATTTAAGGATTTATTCATCCATTCAAGGATTTATTCATCCAAAGATTCAAAGAACCTTTCATTAACGTATTGATAGACTCACCTTCACAGGTTGGGCCAGCATAAGGTGTGACACATTTACAAACATAAGACGTTGACATGACAGGATTCATGATTTGTGGTCCACCATACATAAAGTACGATCTTCTCCATGGTACGTTAGGGTTGATGAATGACGTATCAATACAAGTACCTCCATGAAGACAGGGGTGAGACACGCATGCGCTAACCTCTGCAAAATATCAATAGTTTTACCACTTGGCGACATTTGKTATCAATATWTTACCACATTGCWTAATAACTTGTGTTKTCTGATAATGGCGATACTTACGCTCACAGTGATTACCATGGTAACCCATCATACAGATGCATCGGGCCGACCCATTCTCCTCTAAACACGTYCCACCATTATGACAGGGACTGGGACTACACACGTGATCTACGATTAGAATTGATCAATCAGCTACAACGTACTATAGACAGCAAATTCATGAAAGAGAATTCAAAGTACTAGGGGATTCCGGATTCCAAGYGCTGGATTACGGATTCCGAAACATTGGATTACGGATTCCAGGCCTCGAGATTACGGATTCTAAAGAATTTTTGTTTTGGGATTTCAAAATTTTTACTGGATTCTGGATTCCAAATTGGATTTCGGATTCGAAAGCTGTTTTTTAATGGATTCGGGATTCTAAATTCTCTTATTTGGGGCGAAGCAATTTATGTGATGTAACGAAGTATGTATTTTTAAATAGAGTTTAGGCTTTGTAGAGTAGAGTTGAGAGATGTGCAGCATCGTGATGCATTGTAGTGCGGTGTGTAGTTCTGTATACACGCTGATTCTGAATTCTCTTATTTGGGGCGAAGCAATTTATGTGATGTAACAAAGTATGTATTTTTAAATAGAGTTTAGTCTTTGTAGAGTAGAGTTACAAGATGTGCAGCATCGTGGTGCATTGTAGTGCGGTGTGTAGTTCTGTATACACGCTTCCTGTACGTACTTTGACAATTGTTTCCATCGTAACCCAGTCTGCAACTACATCGGTATCCAGACATCTCATCTACGCATGACCCACCGTGAAGGCATGGGTTCGAGAAACAAATACTGCGCTCTGTAAAGAGATTTCAGGTTTGATTTTTGGTTCTATRATCTACGTATCATCATTATGATAAAAATATTGAGATATAATAGTATTTGGTTTGAATTTGAGGTTAAATCGAGACAATCAGAACAACATATATCTCACATAAATTCGACACTCAAGCAATCTAGAAATTGCAGTCACTCTCAAATCGCAGCTATCTAATCTATCCATTATTACAGATACTAATACTACTATTTCTAACATAACTAATGATTATCATCAATCATCAACGGCATCATTTACACCCTTGTCCTTATTACAAATAATACTGATGCGGATATCATTATTATAACATTATAAACAGCGCTGTCGTTGCTTCCATTACAATTGTGCTCAGTTGTCACCGCCATTTTCTTGTCAGCATTCTCGTGGTTTTTATCGTCGTCGTGATTATTCGTGAGGTCGGCATTCTCTTAATAGTCATTACAGTGAATTATATTGCTGTCGCTGGACGTCATTCCCGTTGATGCTGCCATGTCGTTTTTCAGTCGGTTTTCAAATCCATTACAGTATATTCGTATTAACAAGTTAATTTAAGTCAACAAGTTAATCAGTCATTTATAATGTCAATATTGAAATCATGCAATAGTCATCATGCATACCTTCGCAAGTGATTCCTTTAAAGCCAAATGGACAAGTACAATCGAATCTACCCCCTCCCCTCTCAGTACACGAACCACCATTCTTACATGGGTCGGGTACACACAGGTTCACCTCTGTTTGAAATCAAAACACTAAAGGTTAGCATGGCTACCACTCCTGTAGCCATGGCTACCGCTTGATCCCAAGGTTACCATGACTGCATTATGTCATGGTTACTATGACTACAAAACAACGTTACTATGACTACCACTCCACACCATACCATGACAACTACTCAAATTTTAGTTACTAAGGCTACTTTACTTCTACAGACTACGTCATGGTTACTATGACTACCTCTCCATATCACGGTTATTATGACTACCAAATAGTTCCGCATTGCAACAAGCACAAATGGTGACCATGACTACCAAGACAACCGTTCGAATTACGATTGAAACACTAATTCTGAGTCCAGTTGAGGTTGTCAAGGTTACCACTTAGTTGGCTGCCATGGTGACATTATTGCATACCTTGACAGTCTTCTCCTTTATATCCTTCTCTACAAGTACACTCGTAGCCTTTTTGGTTGTTAGTCCCCGTGCACATACCGCCGTTACGGCAAGGGTTGGGATGACACTTGTTAATATCTGTCGWAAAACAAACCACGAACTCGTTAGAAAATTGCCAATAATTTAAAAGATTAGTGAAATGTCTTTTAGGAATCGAAGAGACTTTATTTTATTGTGTCAGCAAGACTAAAAGGTCAAGATGTAAGCCATAAGAACTGATAATGTCAYGTGATATTATACCTTCRCAATTATCTCCCTTGAAACCTTTTGCGCATGTGCATTCGTAGCCTTGSCCTACGTCATAGCACGTGCCACCGTTTTTACAAGGACTAGGTTCACATAGGCTTCTTACTGCAAGACAGATAATAATTAATATCCTCTAATAATAACTAGTAATCGGGAATAGCATACACTGTGAAAATTAACACTACAATAATGTAACAGTCTTATCGATGGACTTACATTCACACTGAGTACCCATAAACCCCTCGGGGCAGGTACACTCGTAGCCACGTGATATAACAGTGCAGGTAGCGCCGTTCTGACATGGCTCAGGCTGGCAGAACGATTGATCTGTAAAAGAAGAMGTTCRRTTTAAATTTACGGATTTTACAGCTCTACAGATATTTTCATTTTTCTAGCGGAGTGCTTCATACTGTTTTTGATGTTTTATTGAGTAATCAGGAATTAGCTTCAAGGTTTATTCTTAATCCTTAAACTAAATCATAGCATAGAAAAACAATAACAACGACATCAACTGCAAAAACAACACGACAACATTAACAACAGCATCATCAACAGCAACAACAACAATAGCAGCAACACAATAGAAACAACAACAGCAACAACAATAGCAGCAACAACAATAGAAGCAACAACAACAACAGCAGCAACACAATAGAAACAACAACATCAACAATAGCAGCAAAAACAATAGAAACAACAACAGCAACAACAACAATAGCAGCAACAACAGCAACAGCCCAACAAGCAAGTTGAACATTTGAGTGTGGACGAGTGTTTCCTATTAATTCTTGATATCTGTCAATACACAGGGTATTGATATCTTGTGAGTGTAACACCAGTTCACTAGGGACCAGTAGTATACCAGGTACATAATTGACCTCTCTCTAGTAAGGGATGTCATGGTAACGACGATGCCCATAAAGAAATGTCGACAATTTATGCAGAKACCGCTGCAATAGACGTTTATAGATCATATACTGTTAATTTATTTCTTGATAAATTCATTATTCAATAYGCGTTATAATATATTGTGAGTTTAAAATTGTCTAATGATTTCCCACTGTTTTGGTACTTYCAGCAACAGACAGTGTCGTTACGAACCGTCACCTGGGYACTACCATTGCACAATACGGCGGTTTGAATTCGCCACGCGCCATTAATCASTACAATGAAAATGGGTGTAGACCAARAAGAAAGTTCGGTCATAAGGTGGAGTGCGGTAACAGGTTGACTATTGAGGTTTTACATGGTGTCATGATTACGAGAAATAACACATGRGTTTCTTATAAAACAYTATTATTAACGTTTTRAAACGTTAATTCTGATAAAGTTCTACTTAAAATGCAATAAAAAACCGAGTTTTTGTTAGCCTTAAAACTAGGATCAATTATTAGATTTATATTCGCGCATTAATAGATTTCCCTCGCAAACGATCAAATCACAGTCTTCGATGTATTTTCATGTAGTTTGGATATAAAAATCAGCATAATAATATAAAGCTGTAATACAAGGAGTAGAACCACGTTGATTCTTACGGTACATACTTGATGTGATAGTTACGAGATACCCAAATCACGGTTAACGCGTTAGCAATTGAGACAAAAAAATCACTTCATCTTAAATATGGAGGATAAGCTGTCGCGAGGAAACATTTTGAAGTTTTATTCGATTGAATATGACAAAAAAGGCATTAAATCGAGAAGTAATCTATSTTTTTATCCAATAATCTGACATCTATTAAGGGTCTTTAAGTCAAAATCATCATGGCACATTAAAGTGATTAAGAAAATGTTCTTGAAGTAATTTACCTGGATGATGGTGGACTATTATWCGATGAATATGCTGTCCTCCCAAGGGAGACATTCCTCCAAACATCGGCAAAAACTGCCTTTTCGTTGTATCTGAGCTGTTCTTCTTGTTTGAAGTGAGCGTCGARCTTCTCGACCCTTTCCGGTGATGCGACCCATGTTTTTTCCAACTTTTCGATGATACAAAAAAGACGTTAAGAAGAATAAGAATACATAATAGTATCAAATGTTTCATCTTTTGATGTGACAGATCATTAAAATAACAAAATACAAAACTGAAGATCAGACATTATCATCACAACTCCAGTAATAGTGTGGTCATGAATTAATGATGGGTTGCGTGGCCACGAGAATGGTAACGCGTAATAACGATCATTGGTGCCTCTGAAGCATTGATGTTATTTCGAGCTAATTACTTGCTTCCAATAGATTACTTCCAACGATATATTTAGATCATTAAAAAAGAGCAAAAAGAAAAAAAAAACGACCAAATGAAATATTTTACAGATTACATGTAAAAGGTCTGAAAATATAATGTCAGTGAAGATATAATCACAAAAAGGAAAATTAAAAGGAARATTATCGCTTAATGCCCTAGAATAGTAGCATCAATTAACTGGTATAGTATGGCTTTGTTGGGATSTAATCGTGTTGGCATATTAAAATCAAAAAAATCAAAATCTCAGTCTCACATTTCATTAGTGTAGGCGGAGTTTCAGGCATCAAAAGACTTGACATMARAAAAACCCCGAACCATTAACTCCCACTTCCCTGCGTTTTTTTAGAATCTTTTCTGGATCAACAATAAYCTTTATAGTCTTCTAGAACACTTGATCGGTTAAAACAAAACCTATCAACAAACCACGRATCGTGACCMAAGAAAGAGCATAAAGCTTACAAGTTATTTTCATCAGCTAAAGTCAAACATTTTAATCCTTGAAAGAAATGGGTATAAAAATTTAGTACTGGGTAAATTTCCTAGAATTTGAATATAAATATTGGAAGAACTATACTGAGTATTTAGAACTATACTAGTTTAGTGTTCTGATAAAAATGATAAATTAAACAACCAACTGGTTTATCTTACAAAAAGTACCGCATGTATTATCAAACTATAGGTTTTCCTCTTCCCTTCTGTTTGTCATATTTCCTTTTCACAATTCTATCAGCTTTTTATTTACATTGCATTTGATTATTTAATSCTTTYTGTTAATCTAAAAGAGTCAAAGCGACGAAAGCCGAAACAAAAATCGTTGTTTTGTCTTCATTTCAAARGCGTTATTTATTGATGATCAACCTGTTAATAACCCTGCAATAAATCACTACAAAAAATTAATCAATACTTGATATTTTAGTCCTTTATGGTTTGAAAATACTAACACTTCAAGAAGATCAAATTTGATAAATTACAAAATAAGTATTTTTTAATATTGAAGGAGTGTATTTTCTCGATAGGGAGGGCGAGGTCATGGTGTTGTATTCATAATCACGACAGCCAACTGGTTGAAGCAACGATTGAATCGACACTTGAAGGTTCACTTGTAAAACCAGTGGCGCTTGACACGTCAGAAAGAACGCTATTTCTCAAATGATAGCAAAAGAGAGTTTTATTAGAAGATATGCAGCAAAATAACCACAACTAACATGAAATTCTCCACAAGAAAACTTTTTTTTGGTGTTGTTGCTGTGATATTAGTTTTGAAATGTCATGCCTCAACAGGTAAAAAGCTTGAACACACTACAAAAGCTACAAACTTGAGACAACAGGCGGCTAGCAATACTATCAAACAGTCAGCTAAGGACAGCATCTCCAAAATAACTAACGCTAAAATAGAGGAATCTGATGGTCTCTCCAGTGAAACTACCGATAAATCAGAAGACGCTGGCAATCTATCTAAACTGACTTCCAAAGATGGCGTCTTTGAGAGCAGTGGAGAGCTCGAGGTTCAGATRGRCGAGAGTGGAAGCGGTGAAGAATCAGGGAGCGGAGAAAGCGAGGCTCAGATTAAACTCAATGGTAGACGTCTTCATTCGATATCAGAAGCCATCACAAAACTATTGAATAGTGGACGGAAACGACTTGAGAATCTMAAAAAGGGGACGTTCCCAAGTCCCTACCGGGCTGAAGGCCCTGTCGTACGCGCTTATGTGTCCGATAGTGCTTAYGACACTTCASTACTTCACAAAAGGCATCGCCATCGACGGCATCCTCGCCATCACTATAGAAGACCTCACGGTTTACTAGAGGAAAGTCCCTTCGTTTATCCGTCGTATAGTCATGAACAGTTAGAGTACAGTCCTCCTGATAAAAAACCTTACTTCTTATACTACCCTGACCAGGCACCTGCCAGGTATAATGCAATACCATACCAGGAAACAAACCCTTATCAAGAGCAACAGTATGCTGCCAATATGGAAGAGAATATTATCAGGAATTACGCCTTRCAACAGGAAATTGCAGGTTTGTTKTGATGTTTACATGTAAAAATTCATTTGTTTGATTGTCGAGTTAATCGTTATGATTTTTAGGCATCCAGTTCTATTCCTGCCATCCAAACCCGTGTAAGCATGGCGGACACTGCCGAAAAAAAGGTCTCAAGTTTAGATGTTTGTG